TATATAGAGCTGAACGGGAGTAGGGTTATTGCATACACATAAACAAGGAGGCAGGGCTTATGGTGTAGCTTGATTAAGGGCATCTTTGAAGGGGAGTAGTCTTTAGGCTATAAATATCTGGGGTTGGGAGGGTTGGGGGAGAGAGGCATAGTAGACATTTTCTGCGTGCACTCTCAGTACTCACAATCCCCAGGAAGACTCTGCCTTCTTCTGAGCTCTAGCTGTGGGGTTTTTAACATGGCTGTGCCTGTGTAAACACATTCACTCAGGGCTTCCTCTGCTTTCTGCAGTCATGGTCTTCTGAACATGGGCAGTCGCAAAGTGTGTCAAATCTTCACAAAGAATATTCTTTGTCTCTGACATAGGAAGAGAGTCTCTTCCAGGGAGTATCTTAGAGCCCACTTCAGGGGAAAGGGGCCATAGAAGGCAAGAGAAATGGTCCTGTTCCCATCTTTCTTTAATGTAATGGTCTAGTGCCATTTGTGGGGTGGCCTGTCCTGAGCCCCACCTTCTGTGTGCCAGTGACCACAGCCTCCCTCCATCTTCACACTGAGCAGTAAGATGAGGGCTCAGTGTAGCTTCTACTTCTTGGGGTTGTGAGGATGCATCAGCCCGTCACAGTACCTGCTCAGTAAGTGTTGGGTTTTGCCATCTTTGTTGGTATTGTTGTCACTACTAATGCAGTTTATGTTCACCTTCATCTTTTAGCGTATTGGTGTCAGGATACTCTTTTAAAAATCTCTTGTTATGATAAGTGTGAGCTCATAAAAATTTAAATTTATAAGTGAGCACCATCATAAAGTCAAAAGAAAAAAGTGACAACTTCTTATAAACAATTACGAAGGCATACTTGTAGTTCATGACAAAGGGTCGTTTCCCTGATATGTGAAGACTTAACAGTTCACGAAAGAGTGGTTGACTGTGAGGCCTTTTATTGTGACATGCTTGTGCTTCAGTGTGGTGTCTCATGCATAATCACAACCGTCAGGAGACTGAGAAGGGCCTGACACGACATAGCTGGAGGTATAACCACGGTTAAAGACGGCTGTGTAGAATATGCCCGTGTATGGCTATGTGCAGTGTGCAGGTGCCTGAGGAGGCCAGGTAGAAGTGGCTCCCTCTCAGCAGTGCTCTGACACCCTCCTGTGCCTGCCTGCTCTGATTTCCGCTTTCATCTTCTCCACACTCGGAGTGTCTCTCTGTCCCTCCCCCTGCTGCTTCCCATCTGCTCCAGCCTTCCCATAGCCGCTGTTTCAGCTGAGATGACCTTCTGCTCCCAGGCTAATATCCCTGAGATGTACTTTGACAGCCTCCTCAGTGCTTTCCTCTGGCTAGCAGGAGGTCTAACTTGTGAACCTGATCCCAGGGCCTCTGTGACTTAGTCTTCCCTCCTAGTTTTCTTGCTGTAACTTTCAGGACCCCTACCACTTAGATGAACTGCCTGGGCCTGCTCACCATGCTGATTTCTGCCTCGGAGCCCCATACCTTGTCTTGTACATGTTCCAAGGTCCAGCTCAGTTCTGGTCCCCACCAGGTGTCTTTGCTTCCTTTCAGACCTGACAGCCCAGTGTTTCCTCAGGTACCATTGCATTTCTGAGGCCAGAATATCTGACAGGATCATTTAAGGTCAGAAAGGTTTTTGTTGGGTGCAGTTTCAGAGAGTGACAGTCACCATATTGGTGCAAGCATGATGGTATTCATGGCTGTAGGAATGTGGGGTGGAGCTTCTTCATATCACAGACCAGAAAGCTGAGTGACCAGAACTAGAAGCTAGGCTGCAGCCTTCAAAGCCCCACTCTGCTCAGCAGTTCTGCCAGCCAGGCCCTGGCTCCTGTTGGCAGCAGGTCTTCCAGAATGTGCCACCAGCTGAGAAGCATTGTTCAAAAACATGCTTTTGGAGTTGTGTGTTGTAGATTCAGAGATAACAATATGTGTTCTCTCATGCACTTAACATTTGCTGTAGAGTTTTTTTTTTGCTTTTATATATATTATTTTTGTATTTGTGTTCTTGAGACAGGAACTCACCCTGTTGCCTAGGCTAGCCTCAAATTTTCAATCCTCCAGACCCAGACTCCTGAGTACTAGGATTACAGGCATTCCCCCCATCCTGACTTCAGGTAGACGTTTTCATTGAAGTAGAGAATGTATATCTACATGCACATGAAAACATGTTCAGATCTGGAGGAAAGAACACAGGGACTTTGCGTAAGATCACAGCCACAGCCTCCACATTCCTTTCTTCTGATCTGCTTCCTGGCTCCTAAGACTTGGGAGACAGAACCCTGCCGTGTGTGTCTGCATAAGAATGTCCATCATCAGTGCTGAGTGATACCCCACGTCAGGAACTGAGCCAAGAGCAGAATCCAGTTCCAGTAGACAAGAAACAGAGCAAAAGCCGACAGTCTGTAAGTTTCCGTTACCGACTAGGTTCTTTCTTGACAGCCAATTAGAATTGAGATATGCTTCCCACTTCCAGCTTAATTAGAAGTAATACAATTTTTGTTAAGTCCTCCTCAGGGATTTCTTGATGGTAACATATAAATTAATTCCAGCCTACACACCGACATGTCATCTTTTCTCCCTCTGTGAACTTGTAGGCACAGAGAGAGATCTATAGCCTGAATTTTTGTTGTCATTTTGCCCATCAAATATTTGCTGGTCCCCTATAGACTACTAGACACTGTTACAGAATATAATGTGGTTCAGTTCCTCCTTCCACAAGGCTTATATTCTGATGAGTCACTAGAAATAATTGATAGACTAACAGCAAGGCTTCTCGCTAAAAATATAACAGTGACTAAAGAGTAAAATAACTGAGAAATTGCTGCAGAGTCATCTGTTCCCAAGTCCTTACAAGCATTCAGAAAGAACAGGAACATAGAGGTAGGAAAGGCTATACAGGTTAGCCTGAGCTAGAGATTTCTATGTTTGAAATCCTTTTGAGGGGATGTTACCAAAAAGCGTGAGAGAAGGCAGAAACTTAGGAAAGAAAAATGAGTGTAAAATGCAGAGTAGAGAGATTTTAGAAGCGTCATAAGAGACTCCTGATTCTCAGTAACAGTTTGCAATTTAGAAGGCGTTTTTGCTTGTATGTCTTACTGAATCTCTGCCCGTTGTGATCATTTATCCCATATGGGTTGGTGCAGTGAGTGGTGTTAATGCAGCCTTGTCTTCCCAGCCTGCTCTGGCCTAATAAAGTGTAAGACTTTCCGCTCCTTCTTCTCCTGATCTTCTTAAGTACTTCATTGAAATCGCATCTAGCTGACTTCATTACCACCATGTTCACTGTTTGCATTCATCAACCTGAATATAGTGAGGATTCTCCTGGACAGATCATGTCTCTGGGGGGTTCTGCACGAGGAAAAGCACAATCGTAGGTGGGTCACTTCCAGCTCCATGCTGCCATGCCTCCTTTACTTGGGACCGTGGACACAGATGAGGTAGAGGACACAAAGACTACCAGTCCTTCCACAGTAAGGATGTAAGCACCCCTGTTGGCTTTGTTTTGTCCCTCCTCTTGCCTCTTGGTTATTACGTATTTTCTGTGCCTAGAGTGCTTCAGTTTGCAAAGCTGTAAATCTGTCAGTCTTGTTTATGTGGTTTTCACTTCAAATTAATGTTCGACAAAGGGATTAGCAGATAACTATTTCAGCCTGAATTTCTGTTCAAGGAGAGTGGATATGGTTTGCACAGGCTGCCTGAGCTAGGAAGCAGAGTTAATTGTATAGTCAGCACTGGAGAGAGCTGGTCTCATTTCAGAAAGACAAGACAGTGCAGCTTACAGCCTCCACAGAGATCTTTGGGGTCAAACTGATGTCGTGTTGAAGAATCAATATTTACTGGACTATGTAAAGTTAGCTTTTAATGAACCTCAAACATCTTTCTAGGTCACTAATTGCAGGAAAAAGAAAGGTGGCAATGTCTGGAGTTCATGGGTGTGGGAGCTGATTTAAAGTCAGTGAAGAGATAGTTGCCAGAGTGCCGAGCATCTTTCCACCCTTAGATTCTTTTCAGCATTTTTAGGTACTTGCATTGAAAGGTTGCTTGGAGGTGGAGCACAGGCAGAGAGAAATCCTGATTACAAACCCCAGAACAAAAAAAAAAATAGAGAGAAAGGGAGGATTTCTTGGGTTATTTCTGACTCTAAACAGAGCAATTCTTGCTTCCTGGCAGAAGGTCAGATACTCCTCACATCCCAGGACTTTCCAGGCCTGACCTTGCTCAGCTTCTGAGATTAGATTGGGTGTGTTCAGGGTGGTACGGCTGCCCTTCCCCGGTTCCCTGGGATGAATTCCAGTGGCATTTCAGGTTCCGCCTTCTGAATGTACCTTCACAAGGTCAGGTCCTTCCCTCCCCCTGATGCTCTTGAAAGCACTCAGAATGGAAGAGTGCAGTATGGAACATTTCCTGGAGGATGCTGGCCTGAATCCCCATCTAATTAAAGGGCCTTCATAAGCATCCAGCGTTCCTCTGGTGGTAGTGCGCGCTTGAGTATCGAGTGCCTCTCACTGAGTTGTCCCCATCATGTGTGCGGCCCTGAGCTTCATCTCCCGCACGTGCTGTCAGTGCTCCTGGTACAAGCTGTTGACAGGGTAGAGGAATGTGCCCCGGGGACTTTTATGTTGCCCTAAGAGAATCCAATACTAACGGGTCTTGGTTAGTCACTGAGTCAAAAGCATTTTTGCCAAGCCCTGTGAGTCTGATTGCATCCCCAGCATGTTTTTTTACAAGTTCTTGGTTATCTCTGCTCAGTAGACACAGCTCGGCTCTGACTTTGCAGCTCTCCTTTCTAGTGTATTTTCTCAGGGGAGACTTCAGGATTAATGAGAAGAGCCGGCTGTTCCTTCTCACTCCACCCCCATCCCTCCTCTCTAGGATCATTATTCAGAATAAACACTGAGGAGAGAAACATGCAGGGAGAGGTTGGAATTGCCGTGTTTGAAGGCAGATGGGATAGTGAGCATTCGCATTTCCAGCTCCTCTGAATTCTTCCTTTGCAGACATTTGAGAACTTCTACTTCGGTTCCCTGAAGCTCAATTCCATTCACATCTCCCAGAGGTTCACAGTGGACAGCTTTGGGAACTATGCCTCCTGCGGACAGGTTGACTTCTCCTGAAGTGGGTATGGAAAACTCTAGAAATGGAATGTCTTCCTAAGGTGGTAAAGAAGGGCTTCATCTCAGTCCCTGGGGGGTAGGGGGTGGGGTGGGAGTTTGGAGGATCTGCTGGTACATATTGTCAGCTCCGTACAAGCTTTAGTTATCTGGGAAGAGGGAACTTCAGTGCTGGGAATGCATCTATGAGATTGGTCTGTGGCAGGCCTGTGGGGCATTTTCTTGATTAATGATTGATGTGGGAGGGCCTGGCAAGTGGGCAGGTGGTCCAAGGGTGTTTAAGAAAGCAGGGCAAGTAAGCCATGAGGAACAAGCCAGTAAGCCAAGCCTTTCCTACACAAGTTAGTTTTGGTCATGGTCTTCATCTCAGCAATAGAAAACAAGAGTGGGGCAGATGCTGATCGTCCTGAGTGGCCCCCTCCAAATTCCCAACTCCATGTTGCCTTTGATGGTTGTCCACAGTCGCGCCATGTCTGCCAAGATGCTTGTGGGTGCAAGGAGAGCTTGAGCCATTAAACCTTTGGCTTGTTCTATTTTGTATGTTAGGAAAAACTATAAACAATGTAAAATTTATGATCTTGACCATCTTAAGTATAAGATTTGGTTTATTAAATACATATGTGACATTGTACTGTCGTTACCATCATCCATAACTTTTCATTTTCTAAAATTCGTAACTGTACCTTTAAGTGGTTTCCTCATTTGTTCCCTCCAACCCCTGGCAACCGTTTAACTTTCTGTCCATGATTGTGATAGCTGAATACCTCGTGTAAGTAGAAGCACACAGTGTTTGTCCTAGCATAACGTCCTCAGAATTCACTGTATCATATCTTGTGACAGTCCTGCCTTCCTTTTTAAGGATGAACAATATTCCATTGTATGTGTACCGCATTTTGTTTACCCATCCATCCACAGCTGACCCTTAGGTTGCTTCCACATCTTGGCTACTGTGGATGGAGCTGGTTCAGACCTGGGTGCGCAGACGTCCCTTCCACACCCCGCTTCATTCCCTCACTAGTCAGAGACTTTAGCAGTTATGATTACATTTCTGTTCCTTGATTCGTTTATTTTCATCCTAAAATTAATCCATAAAAATATTATTTTGGGGTGCTGGAGATATACGTCAGTTGGTAGAGTGCTTGGCTAGCTTTCACAAAACTGTGGGTTAGGTGCCAACACCATGTAGTGGCCCATGCCTGTAGTCTCAGCACTTGGGAGGAGGAGGATCAGAAGTTCAAAGTCATCCTTGGCTACGTAGAGTTCAGGGCCTGTCTGGGATATTTGAGACCAAGTCCCCCTCCCCCCAACAGCAGCAGCAGCAGAGCAACAACAGCAACAACAACAACACAAACCCGAAGGAATTGGAGTCCTGGACCAGTGATTAAGAGCACTGGCTGTTCTTTTAGAGCACATGACACCCACTTCTAGATTACCAGTACCCACATAGAGACTTACAACCATCTGTAACTCCAATTCTAGGGGATCCAGTGCCCTCTTCGGGCCTCCATAGAGACCAGACATTTAAATGGTACCCACACATATATGCAAGCAAAACACCCATACACATAAAATAAAAATAAATATTAAAACAAGCAAGCAACAAATTTGTTAGAATCCTGTTCTGCCACATCTCACGTCGCCCTCCCACGTCCCCAATGGAGTTGTGATAGCTCTTTTCCGTTTCCTCCTCAGGAGAAGAGCAGAGAACCGTGGCTGCAGCATTGGGAGCCTGGAAGTATGGAGGCAGCAGCACTCCGGCCTCCAGCTGACCAGCAGAGGAGGGAGCTGCAGCCTACACTTCTCCCCTCTGACCCTCGCTTCTCCTCCTCATCGTTTTCTTTCTTGTTCTTCGTTCCTTATCCTCAAGACCCCTCCTTTCTGTGAAGTCTGCTCCTGAGCTCTGTGTCAAGATCACCATGCTGTGGAGATGGGCTTCTCTATGGGGTGGGACAGAACATCCACAAATAAATGAGATTCCCAAGTTGCAGTATTCTCTTTAATAAATGTCACACAGTCGTGGTCTATGGCCATTGTTACTGTGTTGGGCTACAGGCTTCAGTACTTACTGACTTAGCTGTTCTGTTTACTAGTGCATCAAGGTCCAGTTTCCCAAAAGGCTTCCACTTTGTTCTAGTGATAATCAGTTTATATCTCTCCTCAGGGTGCTGCACAGCGCATGACTCGACTGACCCCACTTGCCTCCCCAAAGCGCGGCTCCCCAGCTGTCAGGTAGCCTTGTCCACTTGGCTGCAGATACCATCTCTTGGGTGTCAGGGATTAATGACTTACCCCTGTAGGAATCTGTAAGAGTTTGGTTTTGGAAATTGCAGTGTGATATGTCAGATACTTCATTCTTAACAGAACTAGGAATTCCGTTATCAAATCTCAGGGTTCCTGCTCCTACACGTGTAAGCAGAGACTGTATTGTTTGCTGATTTCTCAGGCGAGGAGGGGAGTTTTCCAGAGGCGGAATGCATTGATGGCAGGGTGACGACCAATGGGATGCATGTGTAGACTCTCGTCTTTTGTAGTATCTTGTATATTAATAGGATTTTTAAAAAGTTATCTTTTTGTTTTTTAAAATGATGTCTCTATGTAGCCCTGGCCGGCTGGCCTGGAACTTGGTATGTAGACCAAGCTGGCCTTAAACTAATAGAAATCCTTTTGCCCCTGTCTTCCAAGTGTTGGGATTAAAGGCATGCCCACTACACCTGGCCAAATTTGAGAAAAAAAAAATTATAAGCAGTAATAGCCAATATTAACACAACACACCCACTTATCATTTATGTGCAATTGACTCAGCCTTCACAGCAGTCCTCCCGACTCGGTGTTATTATTATCCCTGTTTTTCAAATTGAGGAGTAGCAAGAGTAAGAAATCTAGAGCTAGAGAGATGTTTCAGTGGCCAAGAGTGCTTGCTGTCCTTGCGCAGGACCTGACTTTGGTTTCTAGCACACCTGTCGGGTAGCTCCCAACTGCCTGTGACTCCTGCTCCAGGAGATACAGTGCCCTCTTCCGGCTTCTTGCACATGTCTCACAGACACACGCACATAGACACACATACACACATTTAAAAAATACATAATTTTTTAAATATTTATTTATATATTATGTTTACAATAATCTGTCTGTGTGTATGCCTCCTGGCCAGAAGGGGGCACCAGACCCCATTACAGATGGTTGTGAGCCACCATGTGGTTGCTGGGAATTGAACTCAAGACCTTTGGAAGAGCAGGCAGTACTCTTAACCTCTGAGCCATCTTTCCAGCCCCTTACATAAATTTTTTTAAAAGATTTAAAATTTTACCTGAGACCTTTAGTCTCCAAGTATAGTTTTTGGACTGCCGGAAATCCCCAAGAATCTTCTAGGAGAAGTTTGTGAGATCCAGACTAGTTTTATAAAAGTAACAAGGTGGTTTTTTGCCTTTTTACTCTCCAAGAAACCTTTGATACAATGATGTCACTCTGGTAGTTAAATGTAGTATATACTTGTTGTGTGTTTTGTGTTCTCTGGGCTATTAAAAGTCATTATGAGGGCTCAACAGTTAAGAGCATGGGGCTGTTCTTCCAGAGGTCGAGTTCAATTCCCATCAACCATATGGCGATTCACAACCATCTATAATAAGATCAGTGCCCTCTTCTGGCCTGCACAGCATGCCACTTTTTCCCCGAATTGGAAGGGTTTTATGTTTCTCACCGTGTGTTTTTAGAGGTTAACTAACTCATTTTGTCCTCAGTCCTTCTGGACTCTTACTAGTGATTTTCTTTCCCACTTGTTATTGGGATCGTGTCCTGCCCAGACCTCGTACCTCCATGTTACTGTTTTTGAAGACAGGGCCTTTAAAGAGGCAGTTAAGAGAAAATGAGGCCATTAGAGTGGATCCAAGTCCCTCTGGCCTGGAGTCCTTAAGAGGAATTTGGGATCACTCATGAAGACACAGGACTAGCACTCACCCAGAGAAAGGACCCATGAAGACCCCGTGAGAAGGTGGTAATCTACCAGCCAAGAACAGTGGCCTCTGGAGAGACCAAACCCCAACACTTTGATCTTGAAATTCTGGCCTCAGGAACTGTGAGAATAAACTGGCTCTATGAACGCCTTTGGTCTGTGGCTCTTTGTTATGGCAGTTCTCATAGACAGCTGCGAGGGCACAGGCTCACAGGCTACCTGTCTTCCTTTGAACCAGACATTAAAGGGATGTGTAAAAATAGACAACAATGCCACTTTCTCTCCCCGAATTGGGAGGGATTTGTGTTTCTCATATAATGCATTATTGTTCTGTTAATATGAAAGTTTAAAGTATATTGTTAAGATTTTGGTTTTGTTTTCAAACATACTAATGTGTATTTCACACAAACGGAAGTTCTTGAAAGTCCTCAGTAGTACTTTGGTGCACAAGGCGCCTGAGACCAGAAGGTTAAACATTGCTGCTGTGCTGTCTTCCCTATGGGGTCATTCGATGAGAGTGCTGTGGTTTGGCAGCTCCTCCCACAAGGTTAAAATCTTAGTCACTAATTGGTGGCATTATTAAGCGGAAGTGGAACATTGAGGAGTGAGTGAGTCCTTGTGGAAGGAAGCTGGACCATTTGGGGGAAGTGACCTTAAAGGGGTTAGTGGAACCCCAGCCTCTGTTTTCTCTTTGCTTTCCAGTCACCACGAGATGAGCAGGCTCCCTCTGCCCTTCTTGCTGCAATGCTGCCACCAAACCAAAGAAGCAGGGCCCTCCAAAAGCACGTGACGCAGTCAACATCTTAGAAGATCTCTCCGGTGCTTTGTGACAGTGACACAAAGCGAAATGGCACAAGGACCATTTGGGGAATGTTTGCAGCACCGGGAGTCATGCCACGTAAGAGATCTACCACTGGCCTGCACCCCCAGCCCATAAAGCATAAACCAGATGAGCTCTTCCCATCCATAGTCCTCTTCCAATAGGTAGAGATCTGCATCAGTTTTTATGTCTCTATAGTCGTTTTTCTAGATAGGTGTTTTGTTTGACTCTCGCTGTGTTACCCAGGCAGGACTTAAATTCCCTGTGCTGAAGTGACCCTCCTGTTTCTGCCTCCCAATTCTGCAACTACAGATGCACACTGCTGGGACTAGCTGTTGGTACAGTTTTAAGTTTAACAAGTTGGTTATTGATTTATAGTTGTTTATTCGGGTTCTCTAGAGGAACAGAACTTATAGAATACACACACACACACACACATATATAAATTCTACATAGATGTGTGGAAATTTGTTAGAATGACTTACAGGCTATGGTCTAGCAAATCCAACAATGGCTGTCTAGCAATGGAAAGTCCAAGGATCCAGTAGTTCAGTCCGTAAGACTAGATGTCTCAGTACACACCAGAATCCCAAGGAGTAGGCTCTGATGCCAGTAAAGAAGTGGACTTGTCGGTGAGAGGGAGAGCGAACAGGAAAAGAGCAAGAGCTTCCTTCTCCCGTGTCCTTTCCCCAGACTGCCGCCAGAAGATATGGCCCCAATTAAAGGTGGGTCTTCCTGGCTCAGAAGATCCAGATTAACCCAGAGAACCTAGAGGACCCTAAGAGAGACTGACATGGATGTAATCTACATGGGAAGGAGAAAAAGACAAGAAAGATCTCCTGAGTAAATTGGGAGCATGGGAACCTTGGGAGAGGGTTGAAGGGGAGCAGAGAAAAATGTAGAGCTTAATAAAAACCAATAAAATTTTTAAAAAAAAGATAAAAGAAGCAAAGAAGGAAAATAATAATAATTTTAAAAGATCCAGATTAAGAGTGGGTCTTCCCACTTCAAATGATTTAAGAAAAGAAAGCCCTCACAGGTGTACCCAGCTGCTTGGATTTTAGTTAATTCCAGATATAGTCAAGTTGACAATGAAGAATAGCCATCACAAATGTATGGATTGGTTTTTAGATATGGTTGTTAAGAAAAAGTTTGAAGTATTTTTGTTCAATTATCTTTTTGAACTTAAAGCATCTAGAAATGAGAGCAATTTTTTTTAGGGACAGATTTGGCATTTTTTTGTAGAAAATTGAGGTTCTCTGTTTTGTATTGCTAAATACTAAATACAACAGAAAAATGTAAAAGACACATCCACAATTTAATAAACATGTTTGGCATCACCTCATATTTGGGGCCCTGTGGTTTGGAAAGGCTGTCCTGCCAATAATTCTCTAGAATAAACCCTTTTTCTTCTTTATAAACAAGGTTATTAGTTATTTTGCACAACTCTTAGAACTGCCATCTAAAAATTTGCACTCTTCTTCCTAAATAGCTTCTTCTTTGGCTTTAGCTAAGTGTGTTGGGCTGTGTACTACAGGAGGCAGGTCCCCTTGAATGAACTGCCCGTGTGTGGAAAATGTTCTGACCTTCATGGGTCTGAAGGCAGCTATGACTTCCTGAAAGGCATTGGGTTAGTTTCCATATTCCTTGTTAAGCAGCTCTGGTAACTAGACCACTAGAACCCTTGGTCTGAGCTGTCTGCTAAGAGCATTGGCGGTGTGTAGATAACTTTAATAAAGGCTAGGGTTGAGGGGCATGTGGCTCCGTTGGTAGAGTGCTCACTAGCATGAGTGAAGCCCTGGGTTCTATCTCTAGCACCACATGCACCAGAAGGCACCTGGGAAGTGGATACAGGAGTATCAGAAGTTGAAAGGTCACCTTCAACCTACAAATCAAGTTGGAAGCCAGACCAGGCTACGGGACACCCTGTCTGAAATAAAAAGACCAGGATTAAGAAGATGGGGGAAAGAGGGGAGCAGAGAAAAATGTAGAGCTCAATAAAAATCAATAATAATAAAAAAAGATGATGGAGGAAAGATGGTAAGATTTGGTAAATCTTCAGAACAATGAGTGGTTATCACCTTTTTCCAACCCGAGGGACAGACTGTTTTGTTTTTTAAAAGCCGGGGATCATTTTGCTCATGTTTCACAGCCATCGTATGGTATGTGTAGCATGTAGCATTAACCTTAATTCGAGGTAGGAAATGGGGTCCTCAGT